TTAACTAAAATAAAATAAAAAAGATAAAAAATCCAATTCACTCAATCAAGATTAAGAACAGCGTAACAAATCAACATAGCTGAATTAAACCCACATTAAAAACTCAAAAGGGATTTCGAAAATTAAACTAAAAAGAAAATTAGGATCTACAACGTTCTTCCTCATCTTCGCGGCTTCTACTTCTCGTCAAACCATTAACAGAGAAAATCGAACCAAAGAAATAAACATCAAACAAAAAGCGAAGCGCGAATCTGCAAAAATTTCCGTGAAAGAGAGTGAAGAATGTGAGAAGACGATTTCTAGGATTTCTTTGACTCAAAGATGATGAATAATAAATGGAAGAGATGAGTAAAAAATCATGAAATTTAAACAAAAACCAACCGTACCTCAGATTATACCCTGGTAGTGACCGATGGAGCTGCTGCTGTCGTGGCGGCAGAAGAAGCAGCACCACAAAAAAAATGCTAACCTATTAATAATTTATCTGAAAGTAAACAAAAAAAAAGAAAGAAAGAAAGAAAGAAATGAAATTACTTTGTTTTGAAGTGGAACCATCTTGAAGATCAAGAAGAGCTATAGGTATTGAAGCAGCAACTAAATTAGGGTGTGAGAGAGAGAGAGAGGAGAGAGAGGGAGAGGGAGAGGGAGAGAGAGCATGCTGTAGAAGTGATTGATTTTTTCCCCGTGTTTTTATTAATGGGATATTTATCAATAGTAAATAACCAGATAGTGAATAGTAAGTGTCTAGTCTATGAAATGGAGGTTACAAGAATGAACAGTAACTGGAAAAGCGCCTCTTATAAGAGAGGGTAACTAAATATGCAGCTTAGTATAGAAAATTATCCCAAGGTGTATTAGAACACATCTTTAAGAAACAAAAGTTCAAAACCTTACCAATTAAAAGTGTTGGAAAATATATAGAAAGGAAGCGCAGTGTAAAACAAAAGTAGCAGTGATCATGATCCCCAACCAAGGCAGAGAGGGAAGAGGTTAAATGAAAATTAATTCAGCATTCTTGACAAATAATCACCTCAAACATCATAATAAGCAAAAGTTAACACAAAAGAATTAGTTTTACCCAAAAGTCCCCATCACTCGAGTGGAGACATGAGTATTAACATCAGAAGTAATCTTTGCAAGACCAAAATGTGCAACCTGAGACAATAAATGATGCTCAAGAATAAGCATAATAAAAAAGATAAATTTATCAATCTCTCAATTATTTGCATGTTCAAGTTGAGTTGAGTTGCTAATTTCACTGAAGTCAGGGAAAATCTAAATAGGCCTATTTTATGAGGAAATAGAGTTTCTAAATCCTATAGTTCATTTTCGAATGAGATATAAGTCGCTGTCTAACTG